GTGTGGAGTTTGCATGTGCAGTGGTCATGACCGTCACCTCTCTCCTTTGGGTTTGAGTCTCCACCATGGCTCCATACGTGTGGATCCGCCATGTTCTCCCCGTGTCGTCGTGGGGTTTCTTCTGGGTTCTCCAGTTTCCCCCCCATAGTCCAAAAACACACTGAGGTTAACTGGAGTCACCAAATTGCCCTGTAATGGGTTTTCACTCCATCCTGGGTTATTCCCTGTCTTGGACCCATAGGCTCCAGACCCCCTGTGACCCTGAATAGGACAAATGGTGTCAGAAGATGGATGGATTAACTTTGACATTGCCCTTGTTGGTTTTTGTTGTCAGTCTGTTTGACAACCCACATTTCAGGTCATCAATAAAATTACATTGTCAGGCGACATAGACTGTTTGTGGATCCAAGGACTTAAAGTCACAAATTACAACATAAATGAGGCATTGCCTGTATTCCAGTGTATTCTGTATGACTGTATTCCAGTGTATTCTGTATGACTGTATTCCAGTGTGCCACATGGGAACAAAACAGGGGCAGTATGTGGCTCAGCAGGTTAAGATACTGGACCCAAGATCAAAAGGTTTCCAGATCAAATCCCACTGTCAGCAGAGATTCACTGTTGGGTCCCTGGGTGAGGCCATTAACCCCAATGCTATGGGCACTGACTAACCCTGCTTTCTCAATTACACAACACTTTGGGTAACATTGTCTAATAAATAAATGTATGGAGCAGAGAAGAATTGTTTGGCGCATGCTTGTACTGCCAATCAGTATATTTCGTCTGTGTGAACTGTAAATTTCAACTCCAAATTTCCTCTCCATGCTTACAATTATCTGTACTCCCTTTTACCTCTATACTTTAATTTTTTCCATATATTCCTTCCACCTACACGACAAATTAAGTTTCCTTCCTGTCTACGAAAACGTGAAGTCAACGTCAAGATCCTGTCGGTACATTAGGCTACGTCCTTCTCAGCACGGAGTGTCACTAATCACCGACGGTCACCCTTTCATTCCCGCCAAGCCGCGCGCCCTTCAGTTCCTAACGCTTTTCTTCCTCACCGAAAACATCTTGCACCTCATGCGCTGCCTGCTTTGTAATGTACTATTATTATAATTAATACATTTTCGCCCGAAGGAGACAGCTTCCTGTCTTAGCTTAAAAGATTTAATACTTAAATTACTGTTTATGGTTTTTGCGCTTGCAGGGGCAGGGGGGCAGATGAATAACAAGGTGCGAAAGAAAAAGAAAATCGTACCACTCCGTTGTATTCTCAGAAAATCACCATTTTAGCAGATTGCCTTACCTGCTAAAACCAACCTTATTTGAGTTAACGACTACAGTATCCCCCCCCCCCCCCCTGAAATGCTACATACTGTTCCAAATAACTAATTAGGGGTTGCAATTTCCAAACTAGTTTCAATAACCTTTTTGTGACGATAAAATATTTTAATGCATAAATAACTGCATAAAGCGCACGTTGACTGCAAACGTTATTTTACATAAAAGCACGATCCAGACCAGCTCAAACTTGGCCTGGCTGTCCCACTAAACCGTAACTAAGCTACGCACCCCCCTCCCTATTCACTTTCCCAAACTTCACTCGTATTTTATATCCTTTCCTTTTCGCTTGTCTGTTGCAAATATTTTTTTTCTTAGACATGAAGCAGAAAAAGGGAAAGAGCAGGGAATTGCCCCGATTACCATACGTCATTTACACGTTCTTCATTTACCGGTTATTGGATTACTGGCAGGTTGTAGTCGGATAACAGGTTACAGCTGACATTTATGATCAAGCCGCTCTGATTTCAAGCTACTGTAAAATCAACACTAGCCATTAGCCGTTGTCTGACTGAATACAAATTAAGAAGTAGCTTTTAATTAGCCCGGACTGCACAACAGCACAGTGCTGTAGACCAATTAACGGCCTCTCTACCGTCGCCTATCCACTGATAACGAATGGCAGCACCATAGAACCTCGGCCGCAGTCCCTCTAGGGCCTGACACGTGTATATTCCAAACTGCAGTTATTAATACAGTCAGTATTTATTACTGTACGTATTTGTTACAGAGCTCGACAGCACAATCTGCCAGGCAGCGAACCGCCTTCCGTCCAAGGTCTCTCTCACTGTCGGAAACTGTGGCAATAAAGCACGTCCCCTTAAATACGCAAATTACGTATTGCACTTAACTTGCATTGCATTTCCTTCTTTTAATGTAATCAGTAATTCACGAACTTAGCCTTCGACACTTCTTAGGACTTTTGGAACCCCCCCACCACACACACACACACACAAAATGAGAGATTGGTCAAACAACAAATTAAGCAAAATTATAACAATTGGTGTGTGGATAAATAAATACGTACAGGCTGTCCATAAATCATTTGAAAATTAGCTTTAGTCTTCTTAACAATGCAGATCGATATCGTGGATTTTAAAACCCGGTTAAGATACTCGTATATAGAACGCAGCTCAAGATTTTGGGTAATAAATTGCCTGCATTTACCCTTTAGTTCTAGGGTTGCTAGGATATCGTTTAAACCTTGTGAATGTCACATAGAAATACTGATAACGACTGCACTGTAGTTTTATGATGCAGTTCCTCCATCTATCAATCCATGCATACATTCATCCACCCATTTTCCCATATCACTTTACGGGATTCCAGTGAGCCTCGGTCTTATCTTGGGAAAGACGGGATATATGACAGAGGTCACCCTGGACAGGATGTCAGCCCATTACTGAGAACATGAGCTCTATTAAAGTACACAATTAAAATTTGCATTTTCATGGAGAGAGCATGCAACATAGCGTGAGCCACTGGTGTCAATCGAAGCGTGACACGACTTTGCTAATACGTCATCAGATGCTATCATCTCCTC